CCAAGATGCATTATGTAAAGGTACAATTCCCAATGAGAAATGTAATTGTGTTGTATACCTTAAATGTACCAATAAAAGAATTTAACAACAACAACACAAAAACAACAAACAAACAAATGAAAACCAAAATGCATTCTGATTTCCCACCGAGGTTAAAATTCTGGTAAATATCCTTCCCAGCTGGGCATGATGGTGTAAACCTGTAATCACCGCACTCTGGAAGGCTCAGGCAGGAGGATCAAAAGTTGTAGCCTATATAGCTAAGTGGACGCACATACTCTTAAGTGAAATAAATAGGACACACGTGTAAATACCGAATAGTTTCTCTGGTGTGAAAAACTGAAAGTGTAAATAAGGACTAAAATGTATAATAGGTAATGTGAAATAGGAAGAAAAGGTCTAAAGGAGTAGGGCAAGTGGGAGGGGTAGGGGAAAGAAAAGAAGGGAAAAGAGAAAATACAAGAAAAGGAAAAAAATGGAAACAAAGTCTTTGTAAATAGGTAAGGGTGGAGGGAATGAAGGGAGGGGAGAGGAATGGAGAAAAAATAAGAACCAAGATACGTCATATAAAGGTACAAGATCCCAATGATGAATGTAACTGTACTATATACCTAAAGTGTACCAATAAAATTAATGGGAAAAAAAAGTTGGAGCCTAGCCCTGGAAAATTAACTACTCAGTGAGACCCTGTTTCATGGTAAAAAATAAAAAAAAGACCTGGGGAGCTGGGCATAGTGCTGCATGCCTGCAATCCCAGCACTCAGAAGGCTGAGGCAGGAGGATCACCATGCGCTCATGGCCAGCCTGGGATACATAGTGTATTCGAGGTCAGTATGATATACACTGAGACACTGTCTCAAAACTTAAAAAAAAACAAAATAAAGAAAGGCCTGGGAATATGTTTCAATTTGAACACCCTGGGTTTAATTTCCATCACTACAAAAAACAAAACCCAAAACTTCCCATTATTTCTGTATTTATTTTATCCACTATATGTATTCATTTGGCCTATTTACATATATGTATTTTAAAATATAAAGAACAGTATATTCTTCTACTTTTTTACTCAGCAATCTACCTCGGCGACTTTCTTTGTTTTAATAGGTATTCTGTTTAACAGCTACGTACCAGCCCATAGTATGGATCAGGGGTGGCAAACCTATGGCACACATTCCACAGTGGGCTGTTTGTATCATTCAAATCTCTAAAAGGTTTCCCATCACTGCTATAAATGTACCAGAATTTAATTAACTCCCTATCAATGGATTTAAGGTTGTTTCCTAAAGTTTTTATATGTATATTTTTACCTTAAGAGCTTATCAGTACAGTAGCTAAATTATGAAAGTTTGACCTATGTCATAGGTTTGTTTTTCAAAAATAATTTAAAAAATTTTAAGCCCATTTCCATTGCTACTGATAACATTTGAGAGTACAGAAGCAGGTTTTTCAATTCAGTGGATTGAAAGCCTTAGAATTTTCAAATTTGATACACAGTACATTAATTTTGGCAAACATATGTCAAATGTTCTTAATGAGTAGATTAAAACAGATGTGATACTAATGATTAGTAGGCAAAACAAGTTGTTCCAACTGTTTGTCAAGCAGTCGGAAAAAATTCCTTCCTTTATGCCCATGCATACCATATTTTGTGCATGCCTCCATTACAGCACTTAATGTGATTTCAACTTACATTCTTAGGTGTTTTTTCAATGAAAATGTTAGCTTCTTGAAGGCAGCAGCTGCTCAGCAACCCTGCAAGGATCTCACAGAGTGAAATTGTTGCTCAGTAAATTTTGTGCATGTATAAAAGTCACAACATTTTCCATTTGCTTCTTTCCCATTTAACGGCTTTCCACCTCCCTCTTTTTTCCTTAGCTTTTGAAATAAAAGCATAATATTTGTCCAGGGCAAACAGAATTTCAGAGGCAGCATTATGTAATGGATGTTAAATCAACCTGATTTAACTCTTGTCTGTTCGATTTATTAGATCTATGACCCTGGACAAATTGCTTAATTCTTCTCAGTCCTAATTTCCTATACTGTGAAGTGAAGATAATTGATTCCACTTCAGAAAGTATTGCATAGATGAAAGGAGTTGATCTTTTAAAGGCTTTAGCAAGTGCTACTATAGAACTTGATAAGTAGTAAGTGATAAGTTGTTATTTCCCAAAGGTATAAATATCCCTACTTATATGTGAATACATCACTGGCCATTTCCTGTCTTCTGCTGTGGTAGGCACAATTTCTGGAGTGAAAGCAACAAGAAGCTAAAAGTTAATCGAGATTTGGGGCTGAGACTCATAATAAAATCAATTTGGAACATAGGGTCTACTGATAAAAATTAGATTATTTATGTTTTCAAAACTGACAGATATGCTCAGAATATTAAAATAGAGAAAGATTAGGGTGGGCGAGGCAATAACCTAAAAGAATTCTATTAGGGCAAAAAAATAGGCTGTCTGTAGCCTAATGTACATTACCCAGCTCTAGGGAATACAAACAAAAAATTAAAATGTAGAAGTTGAATGATAGTAACCTTTGTTTGTTCCCACCTAGCGACTAACCTTTCATAATGACAACTTACTTAACCCTCTTGAACTGGGCTTGCCTTTGCGCTTCAGCATACATGCCTGACTCTGTTAAGAGCAGTATTAAAACTGTGAGGACAACTATGGACCTGCCAAGAAGTTTGGATGAGGTTTTGCATTTGTTGCTTCTGACGGCTTAGTGAAATGCACTGCTGCTTGCGTGTTATTTCCAATGCTTGCTTCTTTCCACCTGAACTTCTTATCTATCAAGCCAGTTACATACAGCAAGTGTTCCTCTGAAGATCTATAGAGCAAAACATGGCAACACCTTTTACACATAATAAGCATTTTCAAATCTGGTCAAAGCTAGCTCCTTCTGACGGGTAGAATTTTAAAAAAGATGAGCCAAGTGTACACTTTGTGTGACCAACTAAATATCCTCATCCATGAACACAAAAATACATTTCTACCTTTTCCTCTAAGGAAGCTAGATCCTGATTTTTTGGTTCAAGACTCAGCAGAAACACAATGCCCCATTTTATAGAGGCTTGTTATAACACAATGACAGCACTATAATTTCCTTCAGGATCAAGGGCTTCACTTGGCATTAGGCCAGCTAAGTCAGTGTCCTTTAGCACTTGTGTAATTTCTGTCAATGGCAAATACCTTCATGGTTATGCATTCTGTGTTCTTTTAGAGAGCATTTGTGCAATGTTTTAGCAGCACATCACTAGGTACAGCAGTTGGATGTTGCCTATGACCTGATTTCTTGCCTCTCAATATGGACATTCAGAGTGTCTATGAGGCACTGAAGGGGAAAGTATCTTCCACCTCTGAGGCCAGAGTTATAAAACCCATTTTGTGCACACAGGGCCTTTTGGTTCTTTCTCCTGGCCCTATGCCCCATGCTTGTCTCTTGTTACCATTGTGGACTTTTGCCCTGGGAGACTTTGTCTCTGTAGAGAAGTTTTGTAATCCTTATTTCCTAAAGGGCAACAACCTGAGCACTTACACTTAACACCTCCCATATGCACAGTCATGGTGGCAGTATGTTCAGGAGTCCTGCAGCCCCCAAAGCGACACTCTGGAAAGAGTGAGGCAAGGAACTAAACCTTTGTAGCGAGCACAGCTGTGCAGCAGGACTTTGACCTAATAGCAAATCTAGACACAGCAAGTTGGGGTTTTCTTTTCCTGCTTTAGCAATCTGATGTGAAAAGAATGATGTGACTACATCCAGACAGTTCCCTACTTTTTCTTTTTTGTGTGTGTAAATGAATTTTATTGGTACATTTTAGGTATACAATATAATGACATTCTTCGTTGGAAATTTGCACCTTTACATAATCTCTCTTGGTTCTTATTTTTTCCCCATTCCCCTGCCCACCCTTCCATCCCCCCCTATTTACAAAAACTTTGTTTCCATTTTTTCATATTAATTCCATTCCCTTCTTTCCTTTCCCCTACCCCTCCCACTTCCCCCCTCCCCTTTGCCCCTTTTCTTCCTGTCTCACATTATCTATTATACCTTTTAGTCCTTATTGACACTTTCAGTTTCTCACACTAGAGAAACTATTTGGTATTTACACATGTGTGTCCTATTTATTTCTCTTAAGAGTATCGCCTCAATGTGCATCCACTTAGCTATAAATGTCTCTAGTTTCTCATTCTTTATGGCTGAGTAGTTCCTCATTTTAGTAAAAACTACATCTTCTTTATCCAGTTTCCAGTTGAT